AAAACAGAGTTAGCATTCTGGACTGCACAATAGCTAAAATCTCTAACTTAACAGTTATGCCAATATAAATTCCGAATGTTAATCTCTTTTAATCAAATAACCCTCTTTGAATCAAAACATCTTCTTTTGAAGAAAGCACATGCTTTTCTTTATTTTCTTTTCCCATAATCAGAAAGCTTTAAAAAAACAGAAAAAGAAAAAAAAATTGAGTCAAACTATTTTTTTGAAGTTTGGGGCATTTTTTGTTGTTTTCTGAAAAATTCAAAACCAATGAAAAAAATTCTCACCACCTCTAGATCTGAGAAGACTAAAGAATGCAATGCATGATTGCTCCTATAATGGATATTCTTTTATTCTCTGAAAGGGAAGTAAGCTAACTTCGCAAATAAGATACAGTCTGGTTGCTGATATAATTAGGCTGTATATTCAGTTCCAGAGATGCACTTTCTGTGTGTTTTCAAGCAAGACACACAAACCAGAACTGCCAGGAAGGTTAGCTGCTGCTACAACATGCACTGCAAAACCTAAGAGTCTGCACAGGGCATCCGCAATGTCCTAAGGACAGAAGAGATGGGTGGCTTGTAATTGGGGTCGCACTAAATCTAGTGCAGCTAATGGGAAATACGGAAGAGACTAATGCACTTCGAGCCTGTCTTACTACAGGACAAGTTCTTTGTTTCTCTCCTAAGCTTTTTTTTTTCTTTTTATTTTATGGACATTATTTCATATTTGCAAAGTTCTTTGAAATCTTTCCATGAAAGCACTAAGCAAAGAGTTAATTCATGTTTCCATAATTGACTGTCTGGTATGAAAGGCATTGTAACTGTAATAGCACACAGTTTAAAATGAAGTAAAAACATTTTCTTTTCCTTGGGAAATTTATAACTTGAGCTGAAAAAAAAATAAGTATTCTCACATCTTACATAACAAAAAAAAAGAAATTACTTTGTTTTTTTTTTTAAAGGCTTCTTCCTTTCTCACAGTTTTCTCATCTCTACCCCTCAAAGACTATAGTGAAGTAAAATATAACTATTATATTAGGCCTAGGTCTTAATTGCTTTTTCATCAGTGGAAATTTAGTAGACAGAAAGAGAAATCAACATCTTATTGCTGGCATCTTGTTGCCAGCTGCACTGCAGCCATTTGGTGTTACACAGTCAGCAATGCTATACCAGTATCTCATTATCAGCTCTGTTGGACTTCTTATGCTATCTGGACTCTAGGAAATGAATATGATAAAAGGGTTTATAAAAATATAAGAGATAATAGTACTTAAGAATAAGGCATTGTATAAAAATCAAGAAAGTTTTTAAAGCTGTTCTGCTGTAAGTCCATTCTCTTAGACCTGAAAAAGCTGTAGGACAGCCAGAGCATCAACCCACTGCAGTGCACTGATTCTGGAAAGTACTTTTTCATGTTTTGTGCAAATGCACAGACAAAGAGAATGATACACACTATGGCTATAAAATATAATATTAGCTATCCATTACTCACAATGCAAATGCAAAACCACATAAATAAATGTATTACTAAAACACACACAAAAAAACCCCAACAAAACAAAAACCCAACAAAAAACCCAAAACATGGCAGCAGGACACTATAGGTACAAAAGTTCAGTGTCAAACAAGGTTCCCTACGCACATCACCGGTTATTTTCCATGACTGTGACTAGGCAAAGATTAACAATCAAAGAGGTAGCATCCACACATTTCAAGTGAGGCACAGATAAATCTGTTTGCATTTTAAAGATAATGGGCAGTGCAAGAATGAATAAAATATTTTGTCCTTTATGACAGTGCGTACGTAGTCTGAGATCTTTCACTTGAGGGTAATGCTGATACCCCTGTCTTAAGAGCTCACTGTTTTTTGCTGCTTGCTTTGTATTCTGCCTATCTTGGTATCACAGCTTCACAGGTGATAATGAAATGGCATGACTTCTCTCAAGGACTCTTAATTTGAATATTGTCAACAATTGCACAAAATTAAGTTAAAGCACAAACCAATAACCTCTCCATTTGCAGTCCAAGCAATACTGTCAGAATGCAGAAATCACAATGAAAGGCAACCAAAGCTGCTGAAGGTGCTATGGTGATGCCACAGTTTATCCCCTACTAATTTGCTTTTAATGAGGATATTATAGCTGCTATCAAAAAATACAGAGGATAATATTTTTTCCCCTTTTAGTGGCTGCAAGGCTTGGTGGAACCACACGTTTCTTAACTCAATAGCCTTGAAATTAATCCAGTATTATTCAACTGCATGAGAATTGTTAGAAGACTGGAAACAACATCCCGCACTCTGTCTTTTTATTGTAACCTTCCTTACAGTATCATCTTGCAGTGAAACCTGAATATCCTAATGGGATTAAACATAAAAGAAAGTCAGGAAAAAAAGTTGCTGGATTAGAATTTTAACTGAAGCCTTCTGTGAGAAAGACCACACTACTGTCAGTGACCTTTCTCTCTCCATGTGTGATCCCAGTTGTGCCTAGTCAAGTGTCCAAAGGAGACTCCATCAGTTCACACTGTATTTATCCTTTTGCTCCTAAAACAGGTGTCTTGTTACTAAGAGAACAAGCATTCATGCCATTGATCAGGATGTATTAACCCACCCTGCAAGAGTGCATAATGTTCTCTGGTATGAAAAGCAGAATGTGATGATACTATTTAAGACCTGAGTTTTGTATTTATAAAAAACATCACTCCAAACAAAAGGCAATAAATTCTGTTCTAGAAAATAGGGAAAAGGGAAAAAAATGCAGGCTTTTGAGTGTTTTAGAACGCCATTTCTATCTCCAGCTCCGGCCTTCGTTTGTTTTTTAAATGCACTCTCTGATAAGTTTGCCTTTAACATATCTAAAAAAAATGTTTTAGAATCTCATACTGTATCTTCACAGCTCTCATTAGATACCACAAGAATGCTTTTTATCTCGTTTTTACTCTAAACTCCTGAAGTCCTCCCTAGCTCTGAACAATTATATTAATTAGAGAGCAGTTATTCACAGATGAGCAGAAAACCGAGCTCAATCAAAAGAAACTTCTAAAACACTTTCCATTTTTATCATTCTAGATCTCTTTGCTTTCACAGTGCTTCAAAGCTTCATACTCAGCCTCATAAATGCTATCATAAAACATTAACAACAGTGTAAACTCTAGTGTGGGAGGATGTGTATGAGGCTGAATTCCTGTTCCTACACCCAGATACATGCCCCAAATTGAGCAACAAGAGGAGCTTTCCTCACATCTTTCCAGCCAGTGTGTTCTCCTAGTAATATAACTCCAACTCAACCTATTGCTGCTCTCCTTTTCATGCTAATTTACACCTAAGGTGTCAGGCAAACTGCTGTATACCTGAACTTAGGTATTGTATGTTTTTTTCTTATTTGTTTTACTGTAGCAACTACTTGATCTAGTGCTGGGCCAGTATAAAGAGCAAGAAGATGGTCCTTGACCTTTTGAGCTTGTAAGATAAGTGTAAGAGAAGAGACAAAGAATAGGTAGAGGACCAGACAGCACCATAATCAGGTATTCAGATCAGCAGTCAGGAGGCTATGACTACTACATACATTTTCTCTGACAGTTCTGATTTGCAGATTGAGATAATTATTGTCAACATACAATTTGCTATCAACATCTATAATCTATTTGGCTCCTGTTTTAAGCCCCAGTGCTTATTTCTCCACAAGGAAAAAAATCCCTCTTGATCTGTCCCATCACATAAAATGCTCTGCCTTCTCCCACCCTGGTCTACCAACCTCTTCTGCAGTATTGTCGTGGTTTAACCAGGACAAGTATATAGAAAGAAACCAGAGAAGGGAAATAAGTTTTATGAAAAGGATATATTGATATAAAAAGATCTTCATAAAGAAGATAAATAAAGATAGGATTAGACATTTGACATGAACATGGATGACAGTTTCAACACTATGGTTTTGAAAATCCTACTTCCTGGTTGCAGAATTAATTGTGACGAAATATATTCCTCCCGGATGCTCTAATATTTAGAATGAACCCACCAAACCTTTTAATCTGCCTAAAATCCCACAGACAAAAGCACTGCCCTTGATTACAATTTACCATGTCGCTTCCCTCTTTGAATCAACTGACTTATCTTTGCCCACCATATCAATACCAACGTCTAGTCCTCAAACTCTGGAATGCAAACAGCTCTGCTCCAGGCTGTGTCTCAGGTTTTCTATCTTACGAAGAATGTCTTTATCACCATAGTTTCACTAACTGAAAGCTTCACTGTTCCTCTCTTTCATTATCTTTCTTCTAATTTTGTGTCTAACTCAGCCCATGCTCCCCTTCCCCAGCCACTTTTTAGTTCTATTGGACAGACTCTCACCCTTTTTTTCACTCAAGACACCCACTGCTTCTTAAGGATTGTTATTTGTTAGGAGTAATTTATTTGCATTCCCAAACTTATATTCGGATAAATGTGATGTAAGCGGCAATCGTCCCTTCCTTCGGAATCATCAGTGGGTTTTTTCCATTGTGTTTTTTGGTCTTCTAGAATAAACACTTTTTATTCATAAATTATCTAGCTGCATTTGTCTTGAACACTGATAAACTCACTGTCATCATAAATACCTTTCCTGGTAAATGGATTTCCATGGCTCCAGTGTCATAGATAGATAGTTATGAAAACTGCAGTCTGCCCACTGTGTGGTACAGAGGGACTGTTTTCTCACAAGCAAACAACAGCTCTCTGATGGGTAAGGTTTTGGCTGACCAAAGTAAAGATTAATTAAGCTGGAGCTCTCCAATACATGGTAACTGTAACAGGTACTTATTCTGGACTTACTTTCTATATCCAAAACGTTGTATCAATGCTGTATTTCATACAATTATAGCATTTAGAACTCAGATTCTAATCTCACTAAAACTGACTCTACACCAGCTTTGGCCCATGTACCCTAATTTATACCACTGGATGAACAGAAACCACTTAAATTCACTATTAATTTGTATAGCAAAAAAATATAGAGACAATACCTGCACAAACCCACACATCATATAGTCATCAAACAAAGGCAGACTAGGGCGGTCCTCTCGATAAATTGTGATTTTGTAGCTGCTCACAACCTGAGGGCTGGGCTGCGAATCATCTGTTACAAGAACGATGATTTTGTTCAATCCAAGGCCAAGGGGGTAGTTAGCAATGCTGCGAGGCAAAACAGGAAAGAAGTAGAATAAACACTAAAGAAACAAAAATTTATACTGCTTTATCTATGGTAACTAAACTTTACTTGCTCCTTGAGGCTTCTATTTCTAACATTTTCTTTCTCTTACAAAATACATATCATTTAAAATAAACAGTGTAAAATAAGATTTATAACAATTTACAATTCTTTCAGGAAGACAAAATAATGACAGTGAAACTTAGTGAAAACAGCTTCAGTGGCAGTGGCAACAATTCTGACATGAAATCTGTGAATGAAGCCACTAGGGACAATAATTCCTGGCAGGTCCAAGTTCGTAGTGAAGTCAGCAGGCAGACAAACAAGATCAGAGGTGTCAGCTAGCTGTTGAAATTGTCCACTAGCCAAGTGTGATGGAGTCCCAGACAAACTGCTAAGAGTGACAGACAAGAGCAAAGCTGGACTGTGCTCTTCTTACCTTGGCAGGGAATTGGGAAATGCTGAAAGACACAGAACCTGCACATCCAGGGCTTTTACTTTTCAGTGTAGAGGACATATTGCTATTCTGTTTTCCTTTTACAAGGAAGAAATCTCTTAAGGTTTTCACATGTGTCTGTGCCAAAATGGTTAGCATTAAAACACTAAAAAGTTGGGTGGGAGAATTTTATGGGAGCTTCTTTTGAAGTGATAAATCACAACTAATTTCTTATTGAAAATACAGGAAACATATTAGGCATTAGAGCAGTGACAACTGTACAGACTTGTTATTAGCAGACATTCTAGGTCAAAGATCTGCTTCATAGTCAGTCAAAGATGGTATGTTGCATAGGCGCTTCATGCCATGAAGCAAAGCTAGCTCTGTAATGGTTAAGGATTCTTCTTCCCAAGTGAATTGTTGTCCCTGCTCTCCCTTTTATTCACTCACTAATGGCTAGTATGTAAATAGGCCAATTCTCTGGTTCGGAGGTACCTGACCCAGATAAATAAACACTTTTTGTCCCTCCCAACATCCAAAACCAGGTCATGCCCAAAATGCCTGTTGGGATTGTCCCTGGCACATGCTGTTGTCTGTGACAGAGCTGGTTGGGAAAGCCAAAACTGTGCCAGGGATCATAGTAGCAATTAAACAACGTGGATGATTGTGGGTCAGTGCTCAAACCTGATGTTTAGTGATGACTTTGCTCTCTCCTCTATCCTCCAGCTTTATACTTCTCTAAAAGATCAGACAAGCTGGGACTCTTGCTGATGACAAGATGACCCACTTAGTGGATGAGGGAAAGACAGTGGATGTGGTCTACCTGGACTTTAGTAAAGCCTTTGACACTGTTTCCCACAGCATTCTCCTAGAGAAACTGGCTGCTCATGGTTTGGATGGGTGTACGCTTCGCTGGGTAAAAACTAGCTGGATGGCTGGGCCCAGAGAGTTGTGGTGAACGGAGTTAAATCCAGTTGGCGGCCGGTCACGAGCGGTGTTCCCCAGGGCTCAGTACTGGGGACAGTTCTGTTTAATATCTTTATCAATGATCTGGACGAGGGGATCTGTAAGTTTGCAGACAACACCCGGTTGGGCAGGAGTGTTGATCTGCTCGAGGGTAGGAAGGCTCTGCAGAGGGACCTGGACAGGCTGGATCGATGGGACAAGGCCAACTGTATGAGGTTCCACAAGGCCAAGTGCCGGGTCCTGCACTTCAGCCACAACAACCCCATGCAGCGCTACAGGCTTGGGGAAGAGTGGCTGGAAAGCTGCCCAGAGGAAAAGGACCTGGGGGTGCTGATTGACAGCCGGCTGAACATGAGCCGGCAGT